GCACTCATGGAGTTCAGTCTGGCAATTGGTTGAGCTCTGAATCAAACACGTTTCTAGTTGGAGACCAGCTCCCTTACCTCCTGGTGAAGGTGAAGTAAAAGTTACTAGGTCATTTTGTTCCAACTCTTCTCTCACTAACTTCATCTGAAGTCAATGGTTTCCTCACTGGCTATCAAAACAAAGAGGGCCACATAGCTTAAGTGATCAAAAGTATGACTTTCCTAGAGTCTGCTTAACAAACAGCTGAACTGAGAACCCTGAACTTCCGAGCACACGAGGGTGAGGCCCATAGCCAACAGTAAGGGGCTCATAACGTATCTCATCTCTTGGGATGGCTACACGATCCAGGACTGAGGTGGTGAAGGGTAAGAATCCAGCAGCAGCAGCAGCGGCTATGTCTTATCCTAGAAGTCAGTATACAGCATTAGCAGTCATTTGTAAGTCCAGTGGGCAGTGGCCCAGCCCTGGCCCTTGCACAGGTCGCGGTGGCGCAGGTAAAAGGCATGGACGCGAAACCGACGGCCACAGTTGGGACAGGCATGCAGAGCTCTAGCGTGGGTCTTCATGTGCTCTGTCAGATGGTGCTTCAACTTGAAGCGTTTATTACAGACGCCACATCCAAAAGGGCGAAGGCTGAAGGTCAACATGATGTGGCGGTCCCGCTTCGGCTTTACTGCAAACCGTTTTCCACACAAGCACCCAAAGCATTTCCCATCTGCGGGGGGCGTCCCTCCCAGCTTCACAGGCCCATGCACAGCTTGCCCCGAGCCTCCAGGCCCCCCGCCCCCTGACAGGATTTCGTTCCCGTGAAGATCCACTGGCTTCCAGGGTGGATCCCCTGCTCCAGAGGTTTCCCCTCCTCCTGAGGACAGCAAGTATCTTAGTTCCCCATTTCCCTCAGAGTCCCCTTCAGAAACGGCTTTGGTCTTCTCCTTTGTTCCTCCAGACCGAGTCCTACTTCCTGATGTCTCCTCCTTAGACTCAAGGGCTTCCTGATTGACATACAAGACCTGGGAAGCTCGGCCAGGAGGGGCAGGAGGCTCAAGGGCTGAATTCTCCTCCTCCGGAGGCTTGCTGGGAAGAGCAGATGTGGGCAGTGGGTGGGGTGCACAGGCGTGGGGAAACCCTCCGGATACTCTCTGAGGCTGAGGAGTCTGGAAGAGCGGGGCTGCTGACCCCTGCTCGTCCTCCTCCTCCTTCACCTGAATCTCTAACACTCCTTCTTCCACTTTGCTCCCCTCCCCTCCCACGGGGCTCTCAGTAGAAGCCGAGCTCTCTGTGGGAGCAGAGGACCGCGCTGTGCTCTGGAAAGGGGAGGACCGGATGCACCAGCCTCCCGGAGAGGTTGTGGAAAGAACTGTGTGGTAGGAGGCTCCTCCGCCAGCCGAGACTCCACCACCACCCGATGTCTCTAGTTCTCGAAGAATCTCCGAGCACTGGTCCACCACCTGCCACATCTGCAGGCCACTGGCGACAAGGAGATGGGCAGGGAGAGCATCGAGCGGCAGGCGGAGGCGCCCCGAGTAAATGAGCTGAAGGAGTCCCTCGAAGGCGTCTGCCTCGATGACACTCGGCAAAGTGAGTCGGGGCGCATCCCCCAAAAGCAGCTTGTCGTGGAAGTAAGGCGAGGCAGCGGCCAACACCGCCTTGTGAGCCCTGAGCTCCCTGCCCTGAACCAGGAGGGACACATCACAGAACTTGCCCTCCAGCCTGTGGCGGTTCAGGGACTCCAGCAGCGAGGAGCTGTGATGAGGGAACTCGATGTGGATGGTCCGAGAGGCTGGGTTGCCCCGGGGAGAGGGCGGCGTGGGAGGCAGCGTCGCCGCATCCATGGCCACCTCGGGGAGAGAAGGCGCAGGGCGTCGGGGGCCTGCGGGGCTCCGCGGACCCAAGGCTGGGAGGAGGAGGAGAGAGCGGGTCACCCAGGTTCGGGCCAGG